CAAAATTTCCACGCGCTTGGCCAACATGGCGACTTTTCGGTTGTGGAATTCCAAGAAATCGCATGTTAACTTCAAACTCAAATCGGCCACCGTTAAGGGCTCTTCGGTTGTTGACAATACAGAACTCCAACGGGCGCGCAGGTGACCATGGTCACCCGCGCGCGCGTAGGTAGTTCTGTATCGTCCACAACAGAGAAGTCGGCGCGTCCGTCGGCCTCCTTAAAGAGCCACAGAAATTTTGAATTCAGTTTTTGGGATCGCATGTGGACTTTTCCATTGTGGACAATACCGAACTCCAACGCGCGCGCGCTACGCGCGCGCTGGTGACCATGGTCACCCGCGCGCGCGCGCGCGCGCGTTGGAGTTCGGTATTGTCCACAATGGAAAAGTCCACATGCGATCCCAAAAACTGAATTCAAAATTTCTGGGGCTCTTTAAGGAGGCCGACGGACGCGCCGACTTCTCTGTTGTGGACGATACAGAACTCCCTACGCGCGCGCGCGCGTTGGAGTTCGGTATTGTCCACAATGGAAAAGTCTACATGCGATCCCAAAAACTGAAATCAAAATTTCTGGGGCTCTTTAAGGAGGCCGACGGACGCGCCGACTTCTCTGTTGTGGACGATACAGAACTCCCTACGCGCGCACGGGTGACCATGGTCACCCGCGCGTGCGCGCGCGCGTTGGAGTTTGGTATTGTCCACAATGGAAAAGTCTACATGCGATCCCGAAAACTGAGTTCAAAATTCCTGGTGCTAAGGAGGCCGACGGACGCGCCGACTTCTCTGTTGTGGACGATACAGAACTCCCTACGCGCGCGCTGGTGACCATGGTCACCCGCGCGCGCGCGTTGGAGTTCGGTATTGTCCACAATGGAAAAGTCAACATGTGATTCCAAAAACTGAATTCAAAATTTCTGGGGCTCTTTACGGAGGCCAACGGATGCGCCGACTTCTCTGTTGTGGACGATACAGAACTCCCTACGCGCGCGCGCGCGTTGGAGTTCGGTATTGTCCACAATGGAGAAGTCGACATGTGATGCCAAAAACTGAAATCAAAATTTCTGGGGCTCTTTAAAGAGGCCGACGGACGTGCCGACTTCTCTGTTGTGAACGATACAGAACTCCCTACGCGCGCGCGCGGTGACCATGGTCACCCGCGCGTGCGCGCGCGCGCGCGTTGGGTTCGGTATTGTCCACAATGGAAAAGTCTACATGCGATCCCAAAAACTGAATTCAAAATTTCTGGGGCTTCATTAAGGAGGCCGACGGACGCGCCGACTTCTCTGTTGTGGACGATACAGAACTCCCTACGCGCGCGCGCGCGCGTTGGAGTTCGGTATTGTCCACAATGGAGAAGTCGACATGTGATGTCAAAAACTGAAATCAAAATTTCTGGGGCTCTTTAAGGAGGCCGACGGACGTGCCGACTTCTCTGTTGTGGACGATACAGAACTCCCTACGCGCGCGCGGGTGACCATGGTCACCCGCGCGTGCGCGTGCGCGCGCGCGCGCGCGCGTTGGAGTTCGGTATTGTCCACAATGGAAAAGTCTACATGCGATCCCAAAAACTGAATTCAAAATTTCTGGGGTCTTTAAGGAGGCCGACGGACGCGCCGACTTCTCTGTTGTGGACGATACAGAACTCCCTACGCGCGCGCTGGTGACCATGGTCACCCGCGCGCGCGCGCGCGCGTTGGAGTTCAGTATTGTCCACAATGGAAAAGTCAACATGTGATTCCAAAAACTGAATTCAAAATTTCTGGGGCTCTTTAAGGAGGCCGACGGACGCGCCGACTTCTCTGTTGTGGACGATACAGAACTCCCTACGCGCGCGCGCGGGCGTTGGAGTTCTGTATTGTCCACAATGGAAAAGTCAACATGTGATTCCAAAAACTGAATTCAAAATTTCTGGGGCCCTTTATAGGAGGCCGACGGACGCGCCGACTTCTCTGTTGTGGACGATACAGAACTCCCTACGCGCGCACGGGTGACCATGGTCACCCGCGCGCGGGGGTGACCCGCCCACTGCGCGGGTCACCCGAAATCCGCTCGGCCAATTAGGTTCACAACGGGAATCCATGGGTTCCGTGGATGTCAAGGCTTCTCAGTGGTTATCAAGGGCTGACAAGGCGCTGTCAATTGAGCCAAAATCAAGACATTGAAACGTGTAACAAAAAATCAAGACATCACAGAAAATTCATTACAAGAGGGGCGTCATGAAAAATTACGACGCCAGGAGGTCTGGGTCGATAGCCGCGAGGGATGGTTCAGCCACGATGGGACCAACTGGTTTCACACCACAGGCGACCCGTGCGCCCCCGACGATGGCGACGGTGCTGACGGTGAGGAACGCGAGCGCAACGCAGTCGTCACCCCCATCGGTGCGCACAGGCCCGCCCCCCCCAGCCACGTCAGCCCAAGACATCGAGGACGCCTTCCGTGCTGCGTTTGACGAATGGCCCCCCAGCTGGGACCCGTGAGTGAGTCCCGCGCCCGCGACCTTCCCCCTCCCACATGAGAGCTCCAAACCATACACAGCCACCAGCCCTGGCCAGGCCCATCCTGGGCCCTGGACTGGTGCACAAGCCCTCCTGGTCTGGGTCTGGAGGTCAAAGTGCACACCGGTCCAGGGCCCAGGATGGATCTTGCCAGGGCTGGTGGTGGTGTCTTGCTGGCGCCCCTCCGACCCCAGTCTCCGAGCTGCCTCGGGCGCGGATCTGCCCGCCCTCGGCGCTGCGCTGGCACGGGGCCTCCAGCCTTTGGCCGCCGCCCGCGGCGCACTCTTCGGCTCGCTGCATCACCCCGGCGGAGCCGCTTCTGCCCCTCGGCCCCGGCGGTCCGTTTTGGGCGGCCCCGATCGCGCCCTGCTCTTCTGCCCGCTTGCTGCCCCGTCTTGCCCGGCTGCTTCACCCCAGCGCTGCCTGGCGCCCGCGCAATGTTCGGTGTCACGCTGTCGGTCTTCGGCTGCTCTTCCCGCGGGTCCCCCTCCTGCCCCTCGCCGCCTCGGGCGCGGACCTGCCCGCCCCTGGCGCTGTCACCGGTCCCAGGTCCTCCCGCGCTGCCAGTCGGCAGTTCGGCCACCGTGTTCTTCGCCCTCAGGGCGCCGTCCTGTCTCTGATACGCGGCGCAGCCCCCCAACGGTCGCGCCCCACTCTTCGCCCTGCCGCCCCCGTTTGGACGCGGTCACTCCTCCGCGCCGCGTCGCTGAGCGTTCTGCTCCGGCCGCCTGAGCGTGGAGCTGCCTGCTCGTGGCGCCTGCGCGCTGTGCCTCGCCCTCCCGTCCCGCTGGGGTCCCGGCTCCCCCGCGCGGCCCGTCGCCTTCCCCCGTCGGCGCCCGCCCTCCCTGGCTCGGCTCGACCTCTGGGTGGACCCTCAGCGGTGATCGCCTCGCCGCCCTTTCACTCGCCTCCCTGCCCCGCCTGTCTCCGTGCGGGGTCGGGCCCTGCGCGGCCCGCTGCTCTCCCTGGGCGGTGCCCGCCCTCCTCCGGCTCGGCTCGATCTCGTGGGCGGCCCTCAGCGGTGATCGCCTCGCGGGCGCTCCCACGGCCGCTCGGCCTCTCCGGCCCCGCCCCAGCTCGCCCTGGCGCTTGGCTGCCCCCCGGGTGCCTCGCTCCTAGCGAGCGGCCTTCGGGCTCGCGCGCGCCAGGCCCTCCCCGCCCGCCCTCGCCCCCGCCTCCCCTCTGGTGCCTCTTGGCCCCCTGGCTGGCCGCCTGGCCGCCCGCCTCCTCCCTCTGGCCCCGCCGCCCGCGGGCGCCGCCCCCGCCCGCCGAACTCTGGCGCGGCGCCGCCTCTTCCTACGCCGCCCCGGCGCTCGATCTGCTGCGCCGCCTGGGCGCCCGGCGAACCCCTGGCGCTGCCCCGCTCTGCTCCTGCCCGCCTGGCTCTGGCGCGGCCCCCGCCCGTCTCGCTGCTGCGCGCCGCAGCGACCGCCCGCTGCCTTGGCCGCCGGCGCCCCTCCGCTGCTGCCCCAGCGCCCCGCCTGGCCTCTGCCCCGTGAGGGGCTGGACGGTCTCCGTTCTTCCTTCTCCTCTTACTTTTCTTCGCTGCACGTGGGCGCGCGCGCGCGCATCCCGCGCGGGCGCTGGACGGCCAGGTGTGTCACCAGCCCGCGCAGCCCGAAATGTGTGTGTGTGTGTGTGTGTGTGTGTGTGTGTGTGTGTGTGTGTGTGTGTGTGTCTGTGTGTGTGTGTGTGCGTGTGGGAGGGGGGGGGGCAGCTGGCCTGGTGGGCTCCAGAGGTCAATGCCTCCAACAGTGTGACGTTGGTAAACCAGGGCGTTGGCGCACTCGAGCAGCCTTGAGCCGATGCATTCTCATTCCCCTGTGTTCTCTGGCTGGAATTTTCAAGGTCGTGGTTTGCAGTGTCCTGGTTTCAGGGGCCCTGAAGAAGGGGGTGGAGCAGGACTGGCCAGGTTGCCAATGGGCCCTTAGGCCGCCCCTGCACCTGCCCTGACATCCTCGCGCCGTAGCAGAAACCACACCGGCAAACTTTGTTAATTTCGGGCCTCCGAAAGCCTTTACGTGAATGCGGAACCGTTCACCAAAAACGATTCAGGAAGAAAAGCCGGTCTCCGGGAAGAAATCCAGACCCTTCTGGGGAACCACGTCGTAAACAAATTCATGACGTCGGATGTCTAGGTGAGAGAAGGATCGGGGTTCAGATGCGCTTTGAACTGGTTCCAGGATCCCTCCCCATCCAGCCCAGCTTTTCGAGACGATGCTGATGCTGATGATGATGCTGATGATTCTGCTGATGATGATGATGATGATGATGCTGCTGATGATGATGCTGCTGATACTGCTGCTGCTCATGATAATGATGACAAGGAGGAGGAGGAGGGAGGAGGAGGAGGAGGAGGAGGAGGAGGAGGAGGAGGAGGAGGTGGAGGAGGAGGTGGAGGAGGTGGAAGAGGAGGGAGGAGGAGGAGGAGGGAGGGAGGGAGGGCCCCCCCGCGAGCGGATGGAGGAAGACGGGCGGCGCGTCGCGGCCGAGGCGGCCGCTCGCGTTCCGCGAACAGCCGCTCCTTCTCCTGGGCGGCGCAGCCCGCAAGCCGGACCCGGCGGCACGCCCAGGGCTCAGTCCCACCAGCCCTGTGGGCTACGGTGGGGGCCCTGGACCAGGAAGCCTGTGGGAAGGAACCCAGGGTCTGGAATAGAAGCAGCCAGACGGCATAAGCATAAACTTTTGCCGCTCCGCGCGGATCTCTCGGATCTGCGCTGGACCCCCCTCCCTCCCCTCCCTGGCGCCCGGAGCGCGCCATGGGCGGCGCGGGAGGCGCCGCCGGGGGGCCCAGCGCGGATCCGAGAAATCCCCGCGGAGCGCCAAAAGTTTATGTTTATGGCGTTTTTTCTTCTTCGATGGAAGCCAGTGGAAATCCAATCGTGGATCGGCCTTGAATATCCTCGCCGCCCTCCTCAGAGAAGGAGTCCTCCCGGGTCTGCGGCCTCCTCGGCATATCCCTGATCAAACGCCCCCATCGTATCCCCCACCCTCTCGTCCGACCCGAGAAGTATGGGATTGTCCCGCAGACGCTCGCGCACGAAAAGACGGTATAATGCAGCAACTTTCGGAGGCCCACGCGGAATTATCGAATCGACGCTGGACCCCCTGCCCTGGCGCGCGGAGCGCGCTGTGGGCGGCGCCGTAGGGTTGCCAGGAAGGTCCAGCTCCGAGCTAGGAAATCCACCCAGGCCTCTTTAACTTGAGCTCTTTCTGCAGCACAAGCCATTCGCCTTCGGGCACATAGTCAACTCTTCTTCTTTGAATTACGCATTATAGAATTTGTTAGGTATGCTCGGCTGCTTTCGTTGCGATCCTTACCACAGCCCACAGCGCACCAGAGGATTTATTAACCAAGCATGGCCGCGAGGATTGCTTGTTTGAGGGGAAAAAACCCGAAGTGCGGGGCTCGAGGCATCCCCTGATGGGGCCGGAGCGGACGGGATCGGAAGATCGCGCCGACGGCGGGCAGACAGCCGGGCCCATGACCGCAGCGCACCGCCGATGCATCGGCGATGCGGCGGGATCCTCCGACCCTCCGACCGCACCTGCTCCAGGCGGGCCACTGGGGCTGCCAAGATGGCCCCCTAACGCCTCCACTACGGCCCAAGATGGGCGGCCCTAGTACGGCCGCCAGTGCGACGCCTGGATGTCTTCGGGTCATAACGTACTTTAGTAGTGGAAGCAATTGGTTTTCAAAATGCTTGGTCTTTAGAAGCTCTGCGTGGCGACGCCCCCGTCGCCACGCGTGCCCTCTGCGAGCCTGCGGGGGCGCCGCCACGTAGAAGTACTGGATACCGAGCATTTGGGACGTCGCTACGCACGCCCTCTGCGTGGCTGCGACCATTTGTTAAAACCATATAGGCCTCTGGCGGCGTTCGAGACGATCCGGGCACCCCGGGAAAGCTCCTGTCGAGGCGCAGCTGCCGGAAAACATCCCGAGGCGAGATGAACTCTGGGGACCGACAAAAATGTGCAAACACGCCCCAAAGGCAGAACAATAGTCGAACACCTTATGCCGTGATGTTTTCGCGACGCGAGGATGTCAGGGACGTCGACGACGTCGCTGTCAGCGCGGGGCTGGCGTGGCGCCTCCGATTCTTTTCCTCCTCCTTCTCTTTCCTTCCTTTCTTGCTTCCTTCCTCCCCCATTCCTTATCCTTATGCATAACTCCTCGCGCCCCGAAGCCAATCGAAAAAACGAGCTCGGCGTTTCGCCCGAGACTTCCGTGACATTTATGGCGCTGAACCTGAATCATACAGATGGGGGGCGGACCGCTTCCAAAATGTGGCTCTCGCCTTGACGCCGCAAACAAAAAACAACAAAAAACAAGAGTTTCACGGATTGAAGGCGTGCCGTTTGAAACATGTGGCTATCGTCTTGGCGCTGCGCCCCTTCGTCTTGAAACATTGCAAGAGTTTCACGGATTGAGGGCGGAACCTTTTCAAAATGTGGCTCTCGCCTTAGCGCCGCGCACCTGCGTTTTAAACACGTGTAAGTGTTTGACGGATGTTCATGATTAACGCGCCAGAAGCGGTGTTTTGGAGCGATTGAGGAGCGTCAGCGCGCAACAGTTCTGTTGATTCGCGGTGTCGAAGTTCCAAGAACGGTGTTCTGGCAAGAGTCAGGATCGCCAAGACGCAACAGTCAGGAGAATAGTGTTTTGGCACGTTTCGGGATCTTCAAACGGTTGTTTCCCAACGGGGCACTTCCCTCAGCGAAAATGAATTCTTCTAGGGGCCTACGAAGGGGGAGCTTGGAGGGAGGGTTTATTCCAACATCGTTGATACATCCTGGATTTATACAGGTTCTCCTCCTCTTCCTCCTCCTCTTCCGCCTCCTCTCGTCCTCCCCCATCCCTCCCCCATCCCTCCTCCTCCCATCCCTCCTTCTCCCATCGTCCTCTCCCATCGGGAACGCCGGATCGGAACAAGACTCGTCACCCGCGCGCCTGATCGGAATGGAAAGCGGACAAAAGCAGGTCTGGGGGTGGCCTCAAAAGGAGCTCCTGACCCGTGCCCTGGGAGCCCAGGCCGGAGCTGCCCCCGGCCATGCCATCCTGGACAGCCCGGGCGACCGCACCAGAGGGGTCGGACGAGAGCCGGGCACCCGAAGAGCGGCGGGGGCCGTCCTCCTGCAGCTGCTGCAGCTCCTGGGCCTCCGCCTCGCGCTCGCGCGCCTGCGCCTCCAGCGCCTGAGGGGACCGCTCGGCGGGGGCGGCGCGCTCTGCGGCGTGCGCGCGTGCCTGCTCGTCCATGCTCCCGCCTTTCCCGCCTTTTTTTCGGTGGACGAGCTTAAGTCGCCGAGCTGGAGCGTACCGCGGGCGAACAAAAATAATGCGTGAGGCCGGCTCTGGCCTAGCGCGAAGCATTTAGGCGAGGCCGGCGTAGAAGATTGAACGGACAGGGCAAACGAGCAGAAATAAGTGGGCCTAAATGCTCCAAGTATACGCCAGCCTCGCAGTACAGGTAAACCTTTTCCGCCTCCTCCTCCTGCTCTTCTGTCCTCCTCCGCCATCCTCATTTACGTTGGCCAGCCTCTGAGCGACGGAACTCTCAGCGTTTGAGCGCCCTCTGCAAAAAGGACTCACGGGGCGTCCGGTAACATCGGATAAACAACATAAGTACTCATGGTGCATACTCAGCGGCGCAGGAGGTGCGAGGAAACACCGAAACGCAGAGAAGCCCGTGATGGCGAGAGTATTCGGACTGCGGTGATGGCAGGGAAGTGCATGGCGACACCACAAATCCCCCCACCCTTCGGTTCAGTAACCTGACCCTGCTCACGACCAAGTGTGGCACAGTGCATATGTTACGACGCCGTGAGCTCGAGCTTGCACCCCCAGAGGTATCGGTAGGGCGGGTCGGGGATGCTGCCTGAGATCTCCTCACCACTTGTAGTCCTGACACTTACCAGTTGCAACATCCTCAAGGATGGAGGGCGAGCCATTTTCAAAATGGAGCTCTCGCCCTAGCGCCGCGCACACTCGCCTCCTACATCTTCAACAGCTTCATAGACGGCGGGCCCAAGATTGATCTCTCGCCCTAGCTCCGCGCGCATTCTGCTTCAAAGACTGTAACAGCTTCCAGGATGGAGGAAGGCTCGATTTCGAAACGTGACTCTCGCCCTATCGTCGCACGCACTCGCCTGAAGAATTCGCAACAACATGAAGGATTCTCACCCTGGCGCCGCGCCCGTTCGTCTCAGAAGTGTCCAGCAGCGTCAAGGCAGGAGGGCGGTTCCTTGTCAAAATGGGGGTCTCGCCCTATTGCCGCGCACATTCGGTTGAAAAGCTTGGATCACTTAGTATGTTAGGAGGGCAGTTGTCTTTCAAGCTGAGGCTCTCGTTTGAGACTTCTTGGATTTCCAAGGCTCGGATGGAGGGCGCCCCTTTCAAAACGAATATGTCACTCAAGAATTTCTGGCATGTCATTACCACCATTTTAAGTTCGCACGTCATTTGCATGAGGGCGTAGTTCTTTGCCAAAAGGGTGGTCTCGCTGGAAACTGCTGCGGACTGTGTGATTATAGTTTTCGCAGTCCTGATTGCGCGCCAAAAGGAGGCAAGCCATTCCTTGAGCAACGCAAGGCCATCGCCGACATGGCAGGCCCGTGTGGTGGTCTTTCAGGGGTGCGCTTCTCGTACTGAAGACAACTCCGTCTGGAACGTGCCCCTCGCCCCCATCGCTGTGGATGCCATGGCAATGGACACTCGAACAATCCCATCACTTAATAAACATGTGTTTAAACTGTGTATCACATGTTCTAAACATGTTTCAAACATGGTTTTACACATTTGAAAATAAGTTTCACACATTATAGACACCTGGAATGTATTTGGCAGCATGCTTCCCTTCCTCTCCATTAATCGACTTCCACAACCCGATCGGCGCCGTCTTCCTTGCCTTGCTAGATCCTTTCTGGGCGCGTGCGCGTCGGCTTCGACCAGTCCACCCCGCCGCGGTGCTGCGCCCGCGGCTGCCGAGGAACAGCGAGCAGCGCTGTGGAGGGCGAGGCAAGAGGCGTGAGGATGGGGAAGAGCGACGAAGACGGTGAAACAACAAGATGCTGAGGACCAGGCGCAGTCGGAAGAGGAGAAGGATTAGGAAATGGAGGGAAGAGGAGGACGGCGCGGGAGTAGGAGGAGGAGAAGGAGGAGGAGGGGAGGAGGAGGAGGAGGAAGAGGAGGAGGAGGAGGAGGAGCAGGAGGAGGAGGGGGAGGGAGGGAAGGAAGGAACGACTGAGTAGCACGTAGGAGGAGGAAGGAACGAACGAAGGAAGGAAGGAAGGAAGGGAGGAGGAGGAGGAGGAGGAGGAGGAGGAGGAGGAAGGGAGGAGGAGGAGGCGGAGGAGGAAACGGAGAGAGGAAAGAGGAGGACGGCGGGGGAGGAGGATGAGGAGGAGGAGGAGGAGGCGGAGGCGGTGGAGGAGGAGGAGGATGAGGAGGAGGAAACGGAGGAGGAGAAGAAGGAAAACAACGAACGCAACATTTGCAATGGCCCTGGACTCGGGAACTCGCGGAGCAGGAAAGCAGATGGCGGCAAGTGTAATATATGTCTAATGCTACTGTGTGGCATCCTGGAGGTTTCTCAGAACAAACCTGGCCCAACCTCTGCCGTGAACGCTGGAATGGCGACCGTGCTCCAGAAGCTGGGCCAGCTTTCCGGCAAGCTGGCTAAGAAACTGCCCAGCATCTCGGACGATGGCCCATTGGCCAAGACACGTGCGCGGCAGCAGAGTGCCGCGCACGGGCCGGCCCAGGGCGGCGAGGGGGCAAACGGCAAACCCAGCGCAGAGGTTGGGGACTGGCCCCCGGTGGCCGAAGGGAAGAGGCAAACGGCCCTCACCCACCACGCGACAAACATAACGTGCAGAGCATCGGGAGAGGGGAGGCGAGTATTTAGGAGCAGGGGGAACAGAAGGGGGAACAAACATCAACCTTGCAGCCAGGGCTCGCCGGCTCACTCCTCCTCCCTGGTATCCGTCGTGCTGCTCATTTTAGCCGCCGTGAGGCTAAAGGTACCTGTCTTGCTGCTCATGGTATACCCGACGTGCTGCGCCTTGCACTCGTCGTGCTGTTCATGGTGCCCAACGTGCTGCTCATGGTACCCGTCGTGCTGCTCAAGGGCCGTCGTGTTGTTCAGGGCGTGAGTAGACGAGAGGGACACGATCCAACAGGCGGATGTCATGTTCGCACTGCTGCTCCTTCCAGCGCTGATCAGCATCGGCAGAGGGAATGCCAATGGAGGCCCCCCCGATGCGGTCAGAGTAGATGGGGTCGGAGGATCCCGCCGCATCACCGATACATCACCGATACATCACCGATGCATCGGCGATGTATCGGCGATATATCGGCGGCGCATCGGCGATAAATCGACGACGTCAGCGATGCATTGGGGACGTCGGCGTGGAGAAAATCGGGCTCCACGTCGAGTCGCATCGCCGATGCAACGGCGCTGCAGCGCGATCTTCCGACCCCATCTACTCGAACCCCATCTGGGGGGCCTAGAAAGGCTCATCGTAACGCCGCCCTTTTGGACCCTGCAGGTCGCCCGACCTCGCGCGCTGCGCCCCGCGATGCGCGACGCGCCGTGATCTTCGCACCCCCGCGCCGCCGCCCTCGAGAAAGGCAGCTCTTCGGCCCCGGCCGCGGTGCCCGAAGCGAGGAGGAGGAGGAGGAGGAGGAGGAGGAGGAGGAGGATGAGGAGGAGGAGGAGGAGGAGGAGGAGGAGGAGGAGGAGGAGGAGGAGGGAGGAGGAGGAGGAGAGGAGGAGGAGGAGGAGGAGGAGGAGGAGGAAGCAGCAGGAGGGCCAGGACCAGAGCGAGGGGGAGGAGGAGGAGGAGGAGGAGGAGGAGGAGGAGGAGGAGGAGGAGGAGGAGGAGGAGGAGGAGGAGGAGGGAGGAGGAGGAGGAGGAGGAGGAGGAGGGATGATGATGATGATGATGATGATGATGATAATGATGATGAGGAGGAGGAGGAGGCGGAGGAGGAGGAGGAGGCGGAGGAGGAGGAGAAGGAGGAGGAGGAGGAGGAGCAGGCGGAGGCGGAGGAGGAGAGGAGGCGGCACTGCGCTGAGTCTTGAGCTCCTCGTGACGACGCTCGACGACGGCGCGGCCCCCCCCCCCCCCCACGGAGGGGAAGCGCCTCCAGCTGGGCCCGCCGCTCCTCGAGCTGCGCGTGGGCGCGAGCGCGCTGGGCCTCGATCTCCTGCGGGCGGGCGGCTGGGGGGCAGCCAAGGAGGGGTGCCTCCTCGTCCCTCCTCCCTCCCTCTCCTCCCTCCCCACCCTCCTCCTCCCTCTCCAGGCACTTGCGTCAGCAGTATGCCCTTGTAGAGCAGTAAGCGTTTGCAGTCAGACTGAGAATTCTTCGGGCCCACCTCGAAGCCTTAGAGGCTGACAGAGTCGCACACCCAGAGGGCCGGCGTCGTAGGAGGCCGATGCCGAAGGCTCCAGCCCGATCGCCTGCCCCCTTCGGTTTGCGTGTTGCTTTCCTCCCAGCATGCAGTAGATTGCACTGGCAACAGATGTAGCAGATGTTGCAACTCGTCAACCCTAGCTCGCAGAACCGAATGGCTTCGAACCAGCTGTTATGACCTTGTACATGTTGATGGCACTTAAATGAGACTCCCCCTCGGGATGCAGGTACATGTGGCGGGGGATTTGTTCATTTAACACATCGTTTAAGGTTCCACAATGGGCTGAAAATCTGGTTTTGTGCACACTGCGGGGCCATAGCCACACAACGCCTTGGCAAATTAACTGAGAAGTGTGAGGACCCCAACCCTACAGGACGGGAGTCTTTAAGAAGAGTAGATGCAGGGGCTCTGGCCCAAAGTCCTCAATCGAGCTGAAAAGGCCAAGAGGCAACACAACCGATCGTAGGTTGCGGCGGAGTTGGATTCAGATCGCTACGCGATCAGGCAGAGTCTCCAGGGTCTCCTCCTCCCTCGCCACCCTCCTCCTCCACCCTCCATCCTCCTCCTCCTCCTCCTCCTCCTCCTCCTCCTCCTCCTCCTCTTCATCCTCCTCCTCCACCCGCCTCCTCCTTCTCCACATGTAGCGCGCGCGCCTGGCTTGGTGTGAATACTACTCTCCTCCCTCTGTCCCTCAAAGATGGCCGGGGAGCAGCGCGACCCCCTCCGCGAATGGTTTTTGCGCACAGGATGGTGCCGAGTTCATTGATCCGATGTGTTTTTCGAGTCCAAGCACCCTCGGTCCTTCCCCAATGGTGCTCCCGCTGCAGTGTGGGTCTCATTTTAGGATTAAGGCTTTGCTCTCGTCCTTCAGAATGGCGCTCCCGCCGAAGCGCGGGCCGGTTTTCTGGATCCGAGTCCTTCCTCATTGCTGTCGCCACCCTCCAATGCCCTCATCTGTATTCCCCTGGCCCTCCTGCTCCTACTGCTCCTTCCACTCCAGTTCCTGCTGCTGCTGTTCGTCCTCGTGCTCTACCTTCCAGTGGAGCTCCCAATGGGGCCACGAACCCTGTGAGGGGTGTGCCGACATGGGCTGGAGGACGCATGCAAATAGTTATGCGAATGTTGCCGCAGGAGCCTTCGGTGGACCCCCCCATGGGGCCACAAACCATATGAGGGGTGTGCTGACATGTTCGGCGGGGACGCTTGCGAACGCTGCCGCAAGAGCCTTCGGTGGAGCTCCCTATCGGGTGACGAAGCGAATGAGGGGTGTGCCTACACGTGCGGCGGGGACGCATGCGAACGCTGCCATCAGAGCCTTCGGTGAAGCTCCCCATGGGGCCATGAACTCTTTAAGGGGTGTACCGACACGTGCGGCGGGGACGCATGCGAACGCTGCCATCATAACCTTCGGTGGAGCTCCCTACTGGGCCACGAGCCGTGTGAGGGGTGTGCCGACACGTGCGCGCGCGGAGGGCAGAGGCAAGGATGGGAGACGGGAGCAGGAGAAGACTGAGAAGCAGGAGGTGGAGGACGAGGAGCAGGTGGAGGAGAAAGAGGAGGGGAGCAAGGAGGATCGATGATCGGGAGCGGCCAAGAGGGGGGGGTCCAAGAGGGGGGGTGCAAATCATGACCGGCGGCATGTGCGCGGCCCAGCGGGGGGGCCAGGGACGTAACGAAGCAAGAAGAGGCGCCATGAATTCTGGGAAAATGTCATGGCCCCCGCCATGATATCCACCCCCCCTGATCATCACCCCCCTCTTTGCCGCCCCCGAGCTGAGGAACGTGGGGCGCTGCTGATGCAGAACGAGGACGCAGCACCACATGCTGGTGGGGAGCAGACGTTCCGCTCGAGGCATCCCCACGCAATCTGGGCGCGAAGGGGCCCGTGGAGCGCCCGTGGTCGGCTCTCCCGGTGCTATGCCTGCATCCTGGCGATGACCATGAGGCCCGGAAAAGACGCACGCCCCCCCTGACACATACACACCCACACACACAAACACAGAAACACACGCAACACACAAACAAACAAACACAGAAACACACACACACACACGCAAACGCACAAGCACACACAAACACACAAACGCACAACTACACAACAACACAAGCACACAAGCACACAAGCACACAAGCACACAGACACACACAAACGCACACGAACACACAAACACACCAACACACAAACACACGAACACACAAACACACCAACACACAAACACACAAACAAACAAACACACAAACGCACACATACACATTCACGCGCACACGTACACAAACACACAAGCACACAACACACACACACGCACACACACGCACACACACAAACAGACAAACACACAAACACACAAACACATAAACACACAAACGCACAAGCACACAACCGTACCAATACACACACCCACACAACACACAAACACACAACCACACGAGCACACCAGCACACAAACACACAAGCACACAGACACACACACACACACACACACACACAAACGCACACATACACAAACGCACAAACGTCCCCGAGAGCCCCAAGAAGGGCCAAGAGGCTTCCAAGAGGCCCCCAAGATGCTACATGAGGGGTCCGAGATGCCACAAGATCGCTCCAAGACGCCCACGATGGCCCCCAGACGCCCCAAGAGGCCTCCAAGAGCACTCCCGAGAGGGCCCCAAGAGGCAAAATTCACTGCTTTTCCTTAGGTTTTGGAGAGATTTTGGCGTTTCCACCTTTTCGGCTTCACGACACCCCAAGACGGCCCAAGAGGCCCCCAAGACCGCCCCAAGAGGGCCCAAGAGGCCCCCAAGAGGGCCCCAAGACGGCCCAAGAGGGCTCCAAGACGGCCCAAGAGGCCTCCAAGACGGCCCAAGAGGGCCCCAAGAACGCCCCAAGAGGGACCCCAGGGGGGAACACGAAACAATATTTCGAGCCCTCGGCCCTCAGAAGTCCCCAGGAGGCCCCAAGAGGCCCCTAAGAGGCCCCAAGAGGCCCCCCAACAGGCCCTCAGGAGGCCCCCAAGAGGCCCCCAAGCGGCCCCAGGAGGCCACCCAAATGCCCCCCCGAGCACGCAAGCAAGTGCCAGCGACGCTACACTATGGGCCGGCGGAATGAGCGAAGCGATTCAATAAACAAATCCACACCAGCACAAACACAGAAACACAGATTTACTCAAACAAACCAGCACACAAACACACAAACGCACAAACGCATGAACGTACAAACACATACACAAACACACAAGCACACACACTCACACACAAACACACAACCACACAAGCACACGCACACAAACACACACACACACGCACAAACAGAAACACGTACAAACACACACACACACACACACCCACACAAACACACACACAAACACACTGACACACAAACGCGCAAACATGCAAGAACACACACAAGCACACAAACACACAAACGTGCAAGCACACACACACACACAAACAAGCACCCAAACATACAAACACAGACACACAACAACAAACGCACACACACAAACGCACAAACACAGACGTACAAACACACACACACACCCTCACAAACACACAAACACACAGACACATAATCACAGACACACAGAAACACACAACCACACAAACGCACAAACACACGAACGTACAAACACACACACACACAAACCCACACAGACACACAAACACACAACCAGACAACACACACAAACACACACGAACACAACCACACACACGCACGCAAATCCACACAAACACACACACACCCATACACATACACAAACACACACGCACACACAACCGCATAAACACACGGACGCACAAACACACAACCACACACAAACACACAACCACCCATACACACAAACACACACGCACGCAAACGCACACACACGAACGCACAAACACACACAGTCACACAATCACGCAAACACGCAAGCGCACAACACTACATATTAACACGCAACAACACACGCACACGCACACAAGCACACACGCACACACGCACACCACACGCACACACGCACACGTGCACACATGCACACACGCACATGCGCACCCACGGAACCACGCACACATGCACACACACATAACCAACACACAAACACACACACAAACGCACAAACGCACAAACACACGCACACAAACACATCAACGCAGTAACGCACAACCACACAAATACACAAACACACAAGCATACAAGCACACAAGCGCACAAGCACACACACACACATACACAAACCCACAAACACATCAACACACAAACACGTAAGCACACAAACATATCAACACACAAACACACAAACGCACAAGCACACAAACAGACACACCCAAACACACAAGCACACAAACACACCAACACACCAACACACAAACACACCAACACCAACACACAAACACACAAACACACAAACGCACAACCACACACGAACACACACAAACAAACAACACAAAAGCACACACACACACGCACTAACATACGCACACACGCACACACGCACACACGCAGACACGCACACACTCACACACGCACACACGCACACACGGACATACAAACGCAGAAGCACACAAACACACGAAGACACAAACACACTAACGCACAAACGCACACCACACACACAACCACACACATACACAAACAAATACACAAGCACACAAGCATACAAGCACTCAAACACACAAGCACCCAACCGCACAAAGACACAAACACACAGACACCCACACGCACACACAGACACTCACGCACAAGCGAACCGGTTTAGACGTCCCACAATCTGGGCGCGAGGAAGCCTGCGACACGCTCTTGGTCGGCTCCCCC